TACCATTTTACATTATAACCAATAGTACACAAGGGTTCCAATTTCCCCATATCCTCACCAACTCCCACTATTAATTATTTTTTCATAGTAGCCCATCCTAATGGGTGTGTGGTGGTATCTCATTAGAGTATTCATTTGCAATTCCCTAAAGATTAGTGATGCTGGGCTTTTCATCTGTTTCTTGGCCATTTGTGCATCATTTTTAGAGAAATGTCTATCAACTCTTTTGCCCATATTAATCAGGCTATTTTTGTTGTTGTGTTGTAGGAATCCTTTATGTATTTTTGACATTAACCCCTTACCAGATATTTGATTTGCAAATATTTTTCCCATATGGTAGCTTGCCTTTTTACTCTGTCAAAATGGTATATTTTATGTTTTATATATATATATATATATATATATATATATATATATATATATTTACCATATTACTAAAAAGAAAAAAACTACCTATAAGAAGAGCTCAGGCCAAGATGGCTTCAATGCTGAATTCTAACAAACATTTAAAGAATAATTAAGCTTGATACTTTAAAACACTTCCACAAAACAGAAACAGGAACACATACCAACTCGTTCAATCAGGCCAGTACTGGGGAAGGAGGTGGAACAAGATGGATGAATAGAAGGTTCTACTGATCAACCTCTTAGCAGACACAGCAAATGTTATAATATCTACACAAAAAAGCACCATGATAAGAAACAAAAATCAGGTGAGCAATTATAGTACCTGATTTTAACTTCATGTCACTGAAAGAGGCACAGAAGGAGGAAAGATAATCTTAAATTGCCAATGCCACTGCTATCTCAACCCCCAGAAGTGGCCAAGTGGCATGCGGAGAGAATCAGTGCATTTGGGGAAAGGAGAGTGCAGTGATCATAGACTTTGAATTGGAGCTCAGCCTATGCCTGTGAAGGGAGCATATAAACCTGCCCAAACCAGAGGGGAATCACCCATTGAAGTGGTCAGAACTTGAGTTTTGGCAAGTCACGCCACTGTGGGCTAAAGTGCTCTGGGGTCCTAAATAAAACTGAAAGGTTATCTAGGCCACTAGGACTGCAACTTCTGGGCAAGTCCTAGTGCGGTAAAGGGCTTGGAGCCAATAAAATGGGGGCACTCGACCTAAGATACCAGTTGGGGTGGCTGAGAGAGTGCTTATGCCACCACTCCTCACTCCTACAATTCCAAGCAGTGCAGCTTGAAGCTCCAAAAGAGACCTCTGCTTTCTACTTGAGGAGAGAAGAGGGAAGAGTAAAAAGCACTTTGTTTTGCAACTTGGATATCAGCTTAGTCACGGTAGGACAGGGCCCTGGGCAGAATTGTGAAGCCCCTATTCCAGGCCCTAGCTCCCTGGGCCAGAAGGCAAAAACCCACCACTTTGAATTGAGGGACCCGGTCATGGCAGGATTCATCACCTGCTGACCGAACAGCCCTTGGGTCCTGAATAATCAGCAGCAGTAACCAGGTAGTACACATTGTGGGCCATGGATTAGACAGAAATGTGTTAGGTTCTGGTGAGGCCTAGCATCTTAAAAGTTGTGGTGGCTACAAAGAGACACTCTTCCCCTGCTTGAGAAAAGAAGAGAGAAGAGTAAAGGGGACTTTATCCAGCAGTATAGGTACAAGGTCAGCCACAATGGACAAACGCAACAAATGGGCTCTTGGGTTCCCAAATTTCAGGCCTTGGCTCTTGAATGGCATTTTTGGACTGAGCCTGGGGCAGGGTGGAGCCCACTACCCTGAAGGGTGAGTCTCTGGTCTGGCAGCATTCACCAAAAGCTCACTGAATGGCCCGTAGGCCTTAAGTGAACACTGGCAGTACTCTATGTGGGCTTGTCATGGTGG